GAGAACTTTACAAATATTACACTGGTTCGCAACTTATTTTTTTCATGTCTTTTTGCAATGAGTCTGAATACTACTTTAGGAGGGCAGCTTTCCCCCATTCAATCCAAATCCACGCAATGCAAAGTCCCATGAAACTCAGTAAACTGAAATAACCTTTTCCTCCAAACTCCTTCCCCAGAATTCTTGGAAGAGTTGCCTGTGGTTGAACTGGAATGCATTTGGAAGTGTTTGAATTAAGTGCAGCTAGCCCAAAAGACAGTTTGGCTTCCTACAGAGGTGTAAAGGATAAAAAAGGGATTGTGGTGGTCAGTGCATTGTTACTGTGAATTATGCAGTGAGCTGAAACGACACTGGAATAGTCATCAAAGTTCCTAAGAGCTGCTCTCTTCCAGATGAGCTAATAGAGCAGCTCTGAGGTTAACGGAAATAAAATCTGAAAGTGCTGTAAAATACATTTGCTGTATTTGACTTCTTTCTAAAGTTAGAGCGGTGACACTGCTGACCCTGTTGTCACTAACAGCTCCATTTAACTCGGAGACATTACCTGCATGAAGATGACCACAAAGTTTTACCTAAAGCACATATGACCGGCTGTAACCTTTGCAAAGATCAATGTGTTTTCAGATATTCTAAGAAATCAGAAAGCATCGATCTGAAATCTGCAAAATCATTCACTGGGTTTTCAAATATCTTCACTTAAATAGCACTCGAAAGGAAGGAGTCATTGTCCAGCACCTTTTCATTAATATGCTGACATGATATATGATTGATTGTAAAAGCAGCTAGCCCTAAGGAGAAAGACCCTGGAAAGCCCTTCCAGCCCTATATAATGGGAAGAAGACACTGGAGTTATGAGAGTAAAGGATCAGCATCTTGTTAATTTGTTCTATAACTCGAATAGGTATCATTTTATGTCCCCATAAATTTTTCAGTGCTAATACTAATTATTGATTGGATATAGAAGTGTCGTGTCCCATTGGGTGACATTAATAACACATGTCAAATTAGGAGATAATAAACGTATGTTCTTTGAAAGGGAGTTAGTATGCATCAGATGCTTATATTTTCCGTTATCAAGAACTGATATATAATTTTAAAAAATTATTTTCATTATACTTTTGAGGAGAGAAAGTAATTTATACCTTAAGGCTGTATTCTCTTCATTTATTTGAAAGACCACAGAGATGCAACACTTAGAAGAAAGTTTGCACAGCTTATGGTGCCTCTGTAGATCTTTTGGACCTCTTCCCACAGATAAAGCCTCACCCTGAATAGTGCCATGTTCCACATCTCTATAGGAGCCCATACCATCTGGCAGGCCTTGGCTAAGCTGGGGTTGTGAACAGTCGAGTAGGTGTGAGCAGAAACAGGAACATGGGCTACAAAACGAGGAACCACCTGAGTTACATCTTCCTTGACAGCTGGGGCTGTAAGAATATGGTCCACCGAAGCCAAAAGAGTCCAGATAACTCAGTTGGCAGTAGGAGCTGACTGCAAACGCACAGAGGTCTCAGCTATTATATTGAGATCTAAGTGTAGCTCTGACCCATGAGCATGAATAACAAAAGTCTCATTGATTCCAATTAGAAGAGGCTTGGGTCTATTTACTGTAACTGAGTCGATTCTCAGAAAAATAATTAATTCCTTGTCATGTCTCACGTGTATTGATTTTTGTAATTACAATGAAATTGGAGGCAAAGGTGCAGGGGAAGGAAATGCACTTGATTTATGTTTAATTTGATGTACAAGCTGTCAAGGACTAAGAAATTGAGATGCAATGACCATGCCCATCCTCAATGCACTCCTGTGTGCTTAGATAACAAGGGCCAGACACAGGCTGTAGTGAAGAATCTAAAAATCACACACTGCTCTAACGTACAGAATTCAGTATTGCGGTGTAAAGAGCTGTCTTTCTACAGCAGGCTCCACTGCATGCAGAAGAGATGCCCAAGGGGAAGAAGATAAGGACAGAACAAGCTTAATGTGTATCAATGACTAAGAAGAGGAGACAAAGAATTGGAATGGGGGGGGGAACTACAAGCTGTTGCTGATAATAAAGCTGCCAGTAGATAATGTAAGGAAAAAAAAAAAAAGGAGCTAGAGAAAAGAAAATACATATGGCCTTGTGTGGTAATGATGCTGTCAGGAAAAAGACAGGGGCAGGAGAGCATTTGAACTTTGTTTCCACTGTGCTTTCGCTAAAATGGCAAGTTAGAAATTTTTTGACCTAGAGTCAGTCAGTATTTGACTTCTTAATTAGGTGACAGTCTCCTGTTCCAAATATGTTTGTGGGGGTGGCTGGCCTGTTTCCATACACACACACACAGATTTGATGATAACACTCAATTTCTAGTTTCTAGAGCATCAGAGATTAGTTTGTCATAAAGATATCCTCATTACTTACACATATACAGTATGAGATTTGTGGGCTCGTTAAAGCCAATGCCTACACTGACTTCAGGAGGACCATAAGAGTCTGAAAAACTATTTCCAACCTTTTGCCTCAAAGTATCAGTTCAGGCAGTAAAGTTTCCAACCCTTATACAAGAAAAAAAGCTTTTTGTTATATAATGGCCCTGCAAATGAAAGCTGCAAAAGTCTCACATCCAAACATTAAAAAGAAATTATATATATGAAAGACAGGCAGAGTTTAAGGAGGTAAATCAGTCCTGAGTTAAGTACTTTCATCTAAACACATGATATTTTAAACAAAAAACAAGCCCTCTGCCTCCAGTACAGGGAAATAATTTGCATCCAGTTTGTGCAGTTTCTAAAAGCTGTTGTCTAAAAAATGTGAGCACTCTAACGCAAATTTTCTTCAGGTGACCTACACACACTGCGAACTCATACTTTAAAAAAAAACAAAACCACAAAAACTCACTGGTGTGGCAGTCTGTTGGCAACACTTTTTGAAACGATATTCTTCCTGGCTATGACAGAGCTCTGTGCACAAAGTCATAACACAACAAACTGAGTCAGTAATAAATAGCCAAATGACAGTGATTGATGATGGCAAATCTGTCTCCAATGGAATTATTGGTAAAAATACTAAAAATTCTTTCCTTATTAACTCTTTGTTTAGAGGTTGAGTTGATACTGTCAGAAAACCCTTTTACCACAGCTAGCATGAATTTTAGTGGGCGTTTGAATTCTGAAGCACGAGAGACTAGCCTGTTAAAAAACCTGCCCCTAGAATGGCTCCTGTTTGCATAAAACACGTTGGTTCTTCTCAGCTGGGAAATCATTTGATCTATTTTATATCATATGCCTTGTCACTAAGGGAGCAAATATGGACATGAAATATGAACATGAAGCAAAACCTAAAAAGAGACTTAATAAAATGAGTAATTATGTTTTGCCTAAATGCTCTCATGCCAGCAAGAGGCACATACCATCACAAATTCAGCAAAGTCTGCCCATTTCAGTATGTGGGGAGAGGAAAAAAAAAAACAACACCAACCAGGAGTCAGGCCCTGTGAGGCACATTATTGCAGAGGGTTTTCTCAGGAGAAATTGAGAGCACTGACTGAGGAGCCCTGATTACCGCAGCGCTTTAACTGACGGCCAGACGCAGGGGAAGACAAGGGATCTGGAGCTGCTCTCTGCCATGACCTAACCCTTGGCATGTGGACAGCTGATGGAAAAGCCTAATGCTACCGGTCCAGCACAATCTTTCAAAATGCAACCCAAGTCCTCAGTGACACATTTTCAGTGCTTTATGCTATTTCTCAGTAAAGCAATAAATTTAAAAAAATCAAGAAAAAAAGAAGAAAGGACACAGACTCAGAGGAGTAATCAAGTGCCCAAGTATTTGTGAAAAGTCAGTGTTAGACGTAGCAGATTACTCTTCGAAATTTAAAACTCCAGCATTTAAATTCCAGCCTTTCTAGTTCACATGTCCGAGAAGCTCATGATCCTACAGCACCGAATATAAAACATAATATTATGCATAGTCTTTATACTCACGACATCGAAAAGTTCCAGCTTATTTATAAACACGATTTTAAAAAGATGAGTAGAAAATCAGAAATGCAAACACTTTCATTTTTCCAAACTATTGTAAATTTCTAGCCATTCAGACCTTAGTCTAGTTTATTCTCTGGATATTTCACAGAAATGACATGACAACACTGATTAGCTCACACCCAATGCTAGAATTCAAGCTGTAATACAAGCACAGAAACATTAGGACTGTGGACACAAACAAGAAATGAAAAGTGAAGCCTAGAACAAACATTTGAGCAAGTGCAGAAAAAATGAAAGCAGACATGACACAATGGGCTGTGAAGAATCATACTTGGATATGAACTCTGCTGAAAACAAGTTTCCCTTTGTACAGAAGTCTGATTATATGGTTACCTACGTCTTCCTACAGGAAAACCACGTACAAGTGGAGGACTCTCAACCTTCTCCACTGAAGCCAATGGCAAAAGTACCACCAGCTTCACTAGGAGCAAGAGTCAGTCTGCAATCTTTAGGATCAAAACCCACATTTCAGAATATTACATGTAGATGTAGTGCACAAAACCAAGTGGAGGAAATCCAGCAAGCAACGTAGAATATTAAGCACTATTATTATGAAAACGCTCATTGTTTTCCACAAAAAGACATCCTCCTCAATTATCACAAATCTCTGCGGCAAGCATGCTAAAAAGATATCTCTTTTTTCTTTCCAACGTAAACTGTGTTTTGTTTTTGTACTGCTAAAGCACAACGGAGTGAAGGGCACGCTCTGCTGGCCAGAAGCACCATTTACACTGAAAGCTGCTTAACAACATGAGGACCAGAAAATAAACCCCATTATAGGACACCTAGACTCGAAGTGGTGCTCCACACTAGGCTGCTACTTGACTTCTTTCCATCCTGAATATTAGAGACAATGACTATGATGCTATGAACAGACTTTCTCATGTTTAAACATCAGCCTACCTGCTGTAAGAACACTTTCTTTCCTGAAGGACACTTTTTAGCAGTATAACATATGCTCAAAAACTCTTTACCTTAGGCTTTTCATCCAGTATTTGCTGACGAATCTCCTTGTGTTTTTCTACAAGTTTCTCCTGTCTTTTAGTCTGAGCATCTTCTAGCTGTAAGAAAATAGCAGAGAATCTTTTTCGGAGATTGCACATCCTCACTTTCCCACCTCTTCTCCAACAAATATTTCACCCATTAAAATTAGGATGTTATCACCAAAACTATAATTCTAATATAGACTTGACAGACCATTGTCACAACCATACCTGAGCACAACCACTCTAACAGTTGCGAGTGGACAATATATCTCAGATTTAGAACCGTAAATGTGTAAAGGACTTATTGTAGACTTCTAATGCTATTAAAAGCATAATGCGTTTAAAAAATTCGTATTATTTTGCTTTAGTTTTTATTGTACAAGCTGTGTGAGATGGCCTCTGTTCCCAGAAGAAGACGATTCATATCCTAGAGTCCTAAACGAACATGCTGATAAATTTTGGGCCTCATTTAATAAAGTACTCAGACATGTGTCTGACTCCAACAGGAATTAAGCATACTTAATTTGTTCCTTCTTTAGGTTGCTTTCTGAATCAAGGCCTCTGTGAGCAAAAATGGGCCAACTTTTGGACTGAACTATCTCTGCACTGAAATTTAGAGAAAATTCAATAGTGGTATATGTTTCATAGCGATTTCACACAGCAAAACACCTCGCTGCATACTTTCAAGCCCAATGTAAACCACCTATAGCTTCAGAAAAGCTAACAGCTGTAATGAAATTCTTTGACTTGTATTTACACAGCTTATAGAATGTCATTTGCATTTCAGTAATTGTACAAGTGTAATTAAGGTTAAAATACACTCTGCAATTAAATGTTTATTGACTTTCAGAGTTCTTGATACAATCTCTGCGTTCATGAGACAGTATAAGCCAATTAAAAAAAATTGGTACATTTTCCATGAATAAACACAGGATATTCAAAGATGAAATCATAACTGTATTAAAATCTGCCCCCTCAGCACCATCCCCCAAACACTGACTAACAATTAATGAAAGTCTGTCCAAAATTCCAGTTTTCCTTTAACTGGAATGTCAAGAGAAGTCTACACTGCAGCTGTTAAAAATTGGCACTTGCAGAATCTTTACACAGAAGCTTAGAATTTGCAGTTTAATATGACCGAAAATATGAAGTCAACATTTTACGCCCAGAACTGAAAAACGGACATATGGTCCGACATACCCGTTTTATGTACTGCACCACCTCCTGGATATATGATCGAATCATTTCGGTCTTCTCTCTGGAGAGAAGCAATCAACGAGTTACTGTAGTCAGTAAGATCGCACCAATACGTTTTAATGCCCCGCAACTCTTTACAAAATAAGTAAGGCTATGCTTTGAATGTAGGGATCTGCCTACTTAACTTTTATCCGCTTCTTGAATGTGCCTTTTGTAACAGGCTGCATCTTTATTGTACGAAGGGCTCAGACTTCCCCATGACATACCACCACAAACCCCCTGCTCTTTCACAACAGGCTTTTCTCATAGGGTGCTGCCACATCTTCAAAGTGATGGTGGTGTTCCTTAAGGCTCAAATGTCAGCCTAGGAGAGCGCACCATCATCAGCAGATGCACACTGCCACATCGTGGCATACTATATAGTAGATAAACAGTCTCAGTGAGCACACACTCAGAGACAATGGCAAAATTCCCACCAAGAGCAGGGCAGACCTGACTTCGGTCCCCAGCTTTGCTATATAAACCACATAAAGATGAACTTGGGAGGAAACACTTGAAGTGACTCTGTGATATAGTGAACCATTGGTCAAAGGCTGAAGATGAGATCCCCCAAAGGCATAAATGCACATGAAATAATTTGTGGATACTTGAATTAACCAGACCGAGGACAGTACTTTAAAACCTAATTTTCTGAGTCAAGAACAGCCAATTGCTGTTCAGGTGGCACCAAAATCTGATGGTTTTAGGTATTTACACAGGCCTCCGGTGCATGCAGGAATTAGAAAAATTAAGAACAATTAATACAATGCATTCTCTCAGTGTAATCTTTCCCAAATTTGTGTAAAAGCTTTAAATAAACGACAGCCTAGCCCCGATGACTCAAATGGGATTCACCAGAAGGTCTCACGACTCTGTCCTACTGCGAGAGTGAGGACAAACGCTGTCACTTGACAGAGGAAAGCTGAGTTTCCCACTTAGTTCCCATCTCACCTTTCTCAAGGGTTCTTTGAAAAGCCTGGCAAAGGAAAGCCCTTGGGAAAAAAGGAGAAAAAAATAAAAGGAAAACAAAAAAAAAATTCTACTCGCCTGTTTCTGAACCTTTCTCACTAGTGTCTCATTAACCTCTCAGCAAATCATTTCCTATTGCAAGTGATTTTTACTGCTATAACATTATCATGAGTAACTACTTTTTTCTAATATGATTTCCATGCCCTCTGACCAGCTCTAACCATATTAAGTATTTCTCCCTTTTTTTTCATAATTATTCTCATTTTGTTATCTTTTATTAAAATTCTGTAATATTGATTCTTAAATTGTCTGATGCCGATCATTGTGTGCGTGTGACCTTCTTTCAGTGTTACCAAATACACAGATTCTATGTTGAGAGGCTCCAAAACCTGTAGCAAACCAAACATAGTTGTGCCTTTGTTACTTGGTAAAACTCAGATATTCTAGATTTTTCTTTTTTTTTTTTTTTTTCCTCCTCCTGTATTTTTAACTGTCCTTAAATGTTTACTTACTAAAGACTGGTAACAAGAATATCCCAGCAAACAGTGCAAGATTAAAATGCTCCATTTTCTTTTTGAGCTGCTTGCCAAAACAAACGAAGGAGGACAAACAAACCTAGATACTGTGCCCTTGGGAAGAATATAATCAACTTGCACAACTACAGTTTGTATTGTCTGGTGGTGCATAAATGAAATGAATATTCCTGTCCCTGTTCACAGAAACTGCACCCTCAGAGCTCAGCTTTCCTCTCTCTTCCACCTGAAGTGACTGCACACTGCGTTAACACTGTCACTGGAGGAGAATCAGTAGCACAGCATCTGAGGGGAATTTATCACAAAAGTAGAGCAAATCTTCCAGTGTGTTGCCGTTATTTCTTCTGGAGAGCAGCTTTATAAGAGTTAAGACGAAAAGATAACTCACAAATAAAAACTTAAGTTAAGGTGAAATCAAACCCTGCAGGAACCGAAGCCAACAACTCTATTTATACTCAGAGGAATAGCGTCTGGATTAACAGCATCTTGGCAAATCTCTCCATCATGCTACTCATAGGCACGTCCCCATACCACACATCAGGACCTTTGTAGCTGACCCAGACTCTCAACGCTTGCAGAACAGGAGATTCAATTAATCCCAGGAAATTAAATAAGTATCAGCGAAAGTAAGGAGGACTCCACCGCTCCGGTGAGGTCTCACAGTCTGACTAAAAGCTGCCTTGTATTTAGGGTTGAGACCTTTCTTTGACGTTCCAGTTGTGAAAAATCTTGTCTCCTCATAGCATAGAAAGCTATGAATCTAGGGATATACTTACTCTTCCATTTGATTTTTATCCTTGGACTTTGCTTCGGTGATCTTCTCCTGCCTCTTCTTGTCCATTTTTTTCTTCAATTCTTTCTTTTCTCTAAAGCATAAAAAAGAAAGGCAAGTTCAAAATCTAAACAAAAACCACACGGAGTAGTAATCAAATATAAGGGGAATAGCACCTTACTTTTCACATGTTTCTTTCAGTTTCTTTAGCTGGCTGTTCTGACACTCCTCTGCTACATCTGTCAACTTCTGAATAAGCTAAAAAAATCCCGAGAAACAAAAATACATATTTTCAGCTAAACATCACACGTACATCTAAGTTTCCTCAAAAGTCTGTAGCAGTCATGAAAGTGTTACACCCTTCCCTGATTAATTATCAATGATAAAAAGCCAGTAAACATTCTTATCAATGTAAATGCATTCGTAACTTGCAGAGTTCAGCCAGACTTGTGTATGTCCAACTTACACAGAAACTACTACTTCTCTGGACATCAAGGTGATATAGTTCCAGAATATTAAATGTAAAACCAAAATATATTTCACAGATTTTACCTTTGCTAGGAATTAAAATGCCTATGATAATTTATAAATGGTCATAAACTGAATTTACATAATACACATTACAAACTGGATTCCTGTGTCACTGAATAGTCAAGGTTTTCTGCAAGTGCTGAAAACACTCTTGCATTGAGCATCATTATAGGAACAGCTTGGATTTCAGGGTGGCCAGGTGAATATTCATGCACAATAGCTAAGAAAACTAAGCATAGATAAGCATAGCCTACATTTTGATCGCAGAATCATGGATTCAAAAAATCTGAATCGGTTTGAAATCTGCTGTGCAGCGCTGGGTCCAATCTTGTTCGTGCTGAAACTGCTAACAAAAAGCATGCTTGTGGTGGCGATGCTGACAGGAGAGGACACATGGACAGGGCGTGTGTGCTAGTTCAATGAATGGTGAATTAAAGTGGGAAATGGGACCAATTTGGTTTGATCACCCCCTCTACTTTAAGTCTGATTCTGTAAAATAATCCTCTCAGGCTGATGAACCAAAGAATGTATAATAATGCCTAGCTAGTCTGATCCAGCTTTTCATTCCTTAGATAAAAGAAGAAAGGTACCGACAACAGGCTCTCCTCTAAAAGACAGATATCAGAAAGAATCTCTCAGCTGCAAGGCAAATTTTAATTGGAATATTAACCCCTGCACAGCTCAGAGGGAAAACTGTCTGAAGGTTCTGTGCTAAAAAACGAATTTATGCTGACACTACCTAACTGCACAATGCAGAAAATGTAACTTTGCTTTGAGAAATGCCATTTCCCATTCTGAAATGAGAAATGAGTTAGCTTACAATATAAGCCCAACTATGTGGGTCCAAAATGGTTCGTTTTTATAAAAATCAAAATCTCTGAGATGCAGTCAGTAACTGTTACTTGAACGTGGACTCTCTCCCTCTGGCACAGGTAACTGCGTCCATGCACCCACGCTGGAGCAGCTATGATTCAGATATAACTGCGGATCAAGAGGGCACCACCTGGGAACCGCAGCTCCGTTCTATGATCCATGGGAATGAATTTGTGAAAAAGGCCTTGCTGAGCGATAGCCACACATATCACTCCTCTGACCTGCTCTTTTTTAGATGGCAGGGCACAGTAGACAAATCACTTCGCCCAAGAGTAATGAGGCAAAACATCATCTAATAGAAAAAAATGTGAGAGAGGATGGTCTGGAGTTCAGAAACAGTTTGCACTCCCATAATACCCTTTAAAAATATTCTTTTCTGCCTGAGAATATCCATCAGCATCAGCTGCCATCTGCCCAAGCTCCTCTATTTCAGCTCAGAGGGCCTATGATGCTGCTGTAGTTGTCAGCCAAAGTCCAGCTGTAAAAACACAAGCTAGCTTGGACTGATGGATGCAAAATATTTCTTCACCATATACAGATTGTGTCCTGCGTCCCCTCAAAGCATTCATCTGCAACAGGAACACTGTTTGGCACAACTCTGTGCCTTGGGGAATGTTTGAATCTATTTTCATTTATTTATTTTCATGATGTTTCAATATATTTTCCAGCTAATCCTGCCTCTGAGTGTTGTATGTTTAAAAAAGCAGCAGAACAAGCGTCCCCTCAAAGCATTCATCTGCAACAGGAACACTGTTTGGCACAACTCTGTGCCTTGGGGAATGTTTGAATCTATTTTCATTTATTTATTTTCATGATGTTTCAATATATTTTCCAGCTAATCCTGCCTCTTTGAGTGTTGTATGTTTAAAAAAGCGGCAGAACAAAATGGGAACATAATCCAAAAACTGCAGTAAACGGAGACTTATGTAACTAGAGGTAAGGACTCTGCGTTAGCAGTAGTAATAATGCCGTTGCCTTTCTGCCTTCCATCCAAAGCCTTCCAAGTTGTTAGAAGTGTTAGTGACAAAGTGACACAACAACCCCTTGAAGTTGCGGCAAACCGCAGGGAAATCAAGCTCTGAAATGGACTCCAAGTAAGAGGAAGCCCCACTTAATTATAATGTCATGCTACTTTCATTACTCACCCTGAGACCGCTAAAGAAAAGCAGACGCCATAACAAACGTACCAGCTTAATATGCTCTCGTTTCTGGTACTTTTCACTGTAATACTGCTCCTGTCGGAGATTTAGCAGCTGCTGTTGTTGCTTCTCCTTCAGCTCGACTAACTTCTGGGTCATTTCAGAGTCGAGTGCAGCTAATTCCTGTTCAATAGTTGAAGAGCTGTGGTCTGGGCTGCCTGTTTCAGATCTGCCAAGACATACGCACACACACCACGGTCTAAGTCACCAGGCATGTACACTCTGCTCCATATTTAAACCTTGGTTTTAAGGCAGCTGGTTATATGTAGCCCATTAGGAAGTTTCTAGCACCACATATAGGGCCAGAAGATGATTTTTGCTCTAGCAAGTCAAATAATTTCATCTTTTAGGAAAAAAAACAGTGTTAACAGTTTATTAATGGGATGACTATTGCTTTCAAACTTCATTTTACTAACCCATCACGGCAGTGTGAAACAGCCTTAGTATAAACGAGCTGTAAACGCAACTGCCAAGATTTCCCATAAACAGATGCCGTGAAACTTGTTTATCCACTTCCAGATGTGTAATTTGAACTTCAAAGCTGCACAGTCCTCAGCAGAAATGGTGAATGCTACGTATTTTGAAAACTGAGTCATCCTTGCATGCACTTAGCAATAAATTTAAGAGTATAACTTTACATCTGCATTTATAAAATGCTTAAAATGGTAGGAACATCCCTTTATTTGGTATTTTCTCCCCTCTTCAGGAAATGCCAGGCATAGCACATGCAGAGAAAAGTGCTCTGTGGACTGCTGACTTTAGGAGGAAAGTTAACACCCCAGTGGGGAGTAAACCTCAGAGAGGCACTATGTATGAGCAAAGGAAAAATATGAGGAAGCTAAAAAGCAACACTAAGGAACAGTCCGAGGTGTTTTTTTTTTTCTTCTCTTTCTTAAGAGACAAGGAAGGATAGATGTAATTGTGAAAGGAGACATGATGACACTAAACTGCTCAAGGGAAAAATAAGCAGCAAAAGCAGTGTCACTCTCAGGCCAGCACTAAACTAAATCCAAGAAAAATACATATAAAAAAAAGAATAAAAAAGGATTACACTGTGTCCCTGCTCTGCTGTACTCAGGTGTTAAATCAGTTGCCTGGGAAACCTCAGAATAGTGCATGAGATTATGAGATGGACAAAACGGCAAAACCTTGAACAGAGAGGGTCGACACTGAGAAAAATGAGTTTGCTACTCAGAAACCTGCAGAGAACTTGCTACACTAGCTGCTGCTCTCCTCCCTCCCAGGTTCAAGTCTGCAGATGGTGTCAATTAGAGTTACTTCAACTGAAATAATGTAAAGCTGCTTTCATCGGTGTGAGGATATGAACCCCAAGGTAGCCTCTTTTTATTGTATTTAAATATTCTGCCAAGAGGTTAAGTGGTGTCAGTGTGATAGATGAGGATAATTTAAACACAGAGCCAGAAGACAGTATTAATGAATATTGAAGTCAGCATATTATGCCATTACACTATACATTTTAAAGTTGATATTTCTCTTGTATTTTTGGGAAGAAGAAATAAAGTCTATTTCTAAATGCTGGCTAAAATACTAAGACAGTCTTTTAAAGGACATGATCGTTAAAGAAACTTCAGAACACAACCAGCAAAACACTTGTGTGTATGTATAAATAAATACTTTCAACTTCTTATCAACAATACCTTTACTGAATCTTGGCCCAATTTTAGACAAGGGCATGAAACATGGATTGCTTCTGACCAGAGACAACACATTTTTACAGCAATCAGATACAGGGATTCCTGATGAAGCAGCGATTTATACTTTGCAGTTACAGGCAAATAGTTTCCATAATAATTTAAAATGATAAAAATCACCTTTTTCCTTGGGATGCTGTATTCTATTAGAAGTCTGCTGCTTGAGATAATACCTACTTGTAAGTTTGAAAATCCCTAAAAATATATTCCTGCCTTTTTAAAATTCAACCTCAGATTTTTTAACCTTCAGATTTCTCTGTATCTGCACATAAAACTTCACACCTCTGAAATCACTGTGACAGCTCCACGTAATAGACTGCAGGGTTTTATTGCCTGATATCATGAATGATTTATGGTCAGATCATAACAAAATAAATAAAAAAAAATCCTTTTTACTCAAAGATGAGTCATTTTATTTATTCAGTTTATTTTCTGCTTAAATTTGAATAGAATATGCTAGAGAAAAGAAAGAAACATGACGTTGTTTTGCCTGTCACTATCTGTCACACACATCAATGATGGAAAACACAGCAGATAAAATATCACTGTGCGTGCAGTTGACAACCAGTCATTAAGGGAGTTTGTTAAACTCTAGTGTAGAACCCAGAAGCCTGAAAACTGACAACAGTTAAGGCCAGCTGAACATAGATATATTATGAGTGTTAAGCTCCTATTAAGCTCAATGACATTCTGTCATCAGGCAAGCATAAATGAATAAGCTCCTTCCTAGGGACAAGTTATGGCCTGAATCCCAGTCACTTACACTTAGAGGTACTATCAACAAGGCTGGCAGCCGCAGCACGCTTGCAGCTTTTTTCTTTGACGGTCTCCTACCAAAAAGTATCAAGTAATTTTTTAAATGTTCATTCAATGTCTTCATATTTAAGAACTGCAGCTATATCAACTATATGTAAAAGCTGAAGGACTTCTGTGCTTATCGAATTACTTTGAAAATTAAATTATCTTAAAACAAGAATGCTGCACTAATGGGAGAAATAAAAATTCAGCTGCAACAGTATCAGACACTGATTGCACCTATGCGTGTATATGTGTCGCCCACAGTTAAGAATTGACCTTTATGAACATAGTTCCTTACCATAGGAACAAGACAATAATTGTGGAAAACTTAGTAAGTCATAACAGCCTTTGCATTTCAAACTGATAATGAAAAATACAAGACGACAATAATTGTGGAAAAATTAGAAAGTCATAACAGCCTTTGCATTTCAAACTGATAATGAAAACTACAACTCCCCTTTTTTATTATTACCTAAACAAAGAATATAAAAATTGTATCAGCCCACACAAAGAGGCAGGGCAATGCAAGACTTAGAAAGAGGGATAGCACAGAAGGGGTGTGCATGCAGAGGTAAGGCCAAGCAGAGATCCCCAAGTGGTCTAGATCAATCATAATTTAAACAGTAGTCAGATGTTAATAACTTTCATGTGTTTCTTTCACCTAATCATACACCTGATGCCCTCTACTCCAGCAGGAGTTTTTGCCAGGGCTCTAACTTGGAGACAATGCTCTTCATCCCCAAATTCAGAACATCCATTTTACCCATAAATAGCATAAAAGAGGACTAAGTTTTGGTCCTGTTTTGACACTCGGGTCTCTTTCATCACCAGACAGCACAACGTGGTGGCCCAGAGTAAGCCAATTGCTTAATATGGGCAGGATGACCATGGGTGCTGGCTGGAAAAACTTCTCCTTGCTTGAAAAAGGAGCTACACTATAAAGTTATATGATTAAGTGTGGGGCAGAAATTTCCATGGAACTGATACTCCTTCTGCTAAAGGAGGTCAGCAGGAGAGAAGATGGAGTGCTCTAATAAAACATACCGCAGTTGACCTGAGCAGGGAAGTAACACACTTTGCCCAGATAGGTTTGAGGGCTTTCATGCTGCAGTCTGGTTCCTGAACTGTCCCAGTATGTAAGGGGATGACCCCTCTCAGAGTTTGTGATCCAGCTCACTACCTAACCCCTGGCTGCTTTTGCCAGTACAGCTGAGTCACCTACCCATACCAGTGGTCTAGGGAAAGTCCCAAGATAAATATTGCATGCCCTCATTTACAGGG